AGGAGAGGAAGAAAATAAGGTGAGAGCATGCCATACTTGGCTCGAATTTCACAGAATATGTGTAGACCACCTTTAAATTCTCTGTATCTTCTTCAGGAATTTCCATAGGTGGCTCATTGCAAGTTATGTGGTCTTCATCTGAATGTTTATAGCTAAGAAAAGAGAAAAATTAGGAGGAATTTTGTACATAAAACTAATGTAAAATTTTTGATTCATGGTTCTTCAGACACATAATAGTAGTGTAAGAAAACTGAGCTTTCTCTTACGTTCCTTATTTAAAAGTCACTTTAAACTCACTAGCTTTCTGCCTCAACCTCTTGACTTTAAATGTTTGGATTACATGGCGGAATACCATATCCATGTATACTTCTTCATTATTTAAAATATCTGTGTTTCTAAATGTTACCATCATTCAAACAGAGCTCTATATACTACCTAAAACTTTATACTTAAGAACATTCCTTTTGCTTGTAAATAAGAGAAAAATTTTACCAAAGAATTTTTTCTTCTTTTGCCTCACAGCTCTTCAACACAGTGTCTTGTAACTTTAACTGTAGGGCTAGAATATTAAGTACATGAAGAAGAAATCATATTTGTAAGCACCCAGGTATGTAAGAACCTACTATGTAGAAACTACCGAACTTAGCAACGAAAGCTGTTGCTCATATATACTACTAATGGCAGTGTAAATTAGTTTAGCCATTATGGAAAAGTGAATAGAGGTTCCTATATGATTCACCCACCTGACTCCTGGGTGTATCAACCGGAGGTGAATGAACAATTCGCTAGGCATGGATTAGGGCTCACAATACAATGGCATATCTCTAATTGTTTGTCCTCTTTAAAAATAGATCTCCAGGCTCTCCCTACATATGTCCAGGGATAAAGTGTTCAATAATTCTTGAGGCTGCCTATTCAGCTGTAAAGAGCACTGATTATTAGCAGATACTACTTGATACTTTCCTAAAAGAATCTATTGCTACTAGTAAGCTGCCCTCTCAAGAAAAACAAATCAAAATATATTTATAGTAACCCCTTTATACTAAAACAGCAAATAAATGAAGAGTTAGAACACTCTCAATAAGTCCATTCTTCTTAATTCTTCTTCACATTGTATAATACTCAGATACTTAGCAGATAGATTACAAATTGTATTATGTAATATATTATCACATAGGTATCCTAAAGGTAAAAATTATCAAGTTAGGAATCTACATTTTAAACCCATTTTTAAATCATTAGAACTATTTAAAAAGAAATGCTATCTTTACCTCTTGGGATCAACTCTGGAACTAATCACCTTTGCAACCTGGCTGTTTGTGTCACTTTCTTTGTGATATGTAATAGTAATGTCAAGGTGGTTGAAGAGGTACAAACTATTATTTTTGTTGAATTCAGGCTGTAAGAAGATAAAAGAAATTTGAAACTTTGAATTTTTCCTAGAAACTACAAAGTACAAAACCTGACTATGGAATAAACATTGGATACACTAATACTTTTTTAAAATGTACCATGGACATGGAGAGCTAGCTTATCAGTTAAGATAACTTGGTTTTGCAGAGGACCTGGATTTACTCCCCAGCATCCACATGGTGTTTAACAACCTGCATCAGACATAAATATACACCACATATACATACACATAGGCAAAACACAGATACACCTAAATTTCTTAAACATATGAAGGATAACTATGTTTTTATAAGTTTAAAATCACAACCATGAATATTTGGCCTAATAAAGTATTAGTCAACTCTTTACTAAATAGTTTTTAAAGGAGAAATATTGTAAAACTGTAATATTCATAGATTCATGTCATTTTTAAAGTTTTTACCACATAAGGATACAGAGTAATAAAATTAACTAATAAACTAGCAATAGATCCAGGCATAGTTAATCTTGACCAGAAAACCCCACACATTAGAGGCTAAGGCAAAAGAGTTAACTCCAGTTCTAGACTGGCCTGGGCTAGAATGTGAGCCTTTTTTAAAAAAAAAACACATAATCAGTGTATAAAGTTTAAGCATATCATGAGTTTGGCCTTCAGTCATCAAGAGAAACTTCTTCCTGCAGCAAATGGGAACAGAGACCCACAGCAAGACATTGTGCAGAAATATGCTGGAACACTTATCTGTAAATGTAATGTTTCCATCAAATTCCTACTCCCAGAGCTCAGAGAAGCCCACAGAAGAGGAGACAGAAAGAGTGTAAGAGCCAAAGGGATGGAGGACACCAGGAGAACAAGGTTCTCTAACTCACTATGAGTAAAGCTCATATGAACTCACAGAGACTGAAGCAGCAAGCACAGAGCCTTCAAGGGTCTGCACCAGGTCCTTTGTGAATGGGTTATAGCTTCCAGTTTAGTGTTTTTATGGGATTCCTGCACGTAAATGAGTGGGTCTCTGATTCTTGTGCCTTCTCTTGGGTTCATTTCCCTTTGTTGATTTCCCTTGTCCAATTTCTGTGATGGTTTTTGTTTTATCTATTTATATTTTATTCTGTTATATTTTGTTGTTATCTCTTAGAAGGCTGTTCTTTTCTAACACAGAGAGAAAGAGAGTGGATCTCTATGAGAAGAAAAGTGGGGAAGAATAGAGAGGAGTAAAGGGAAGCGAAACTGTATCCTAAAGGATACAGGATATATACTGTATGAGAAAAATGGAAGGGGGAAGAAGAAGAGGAAAAGGCAGAAATATCATGAAATCAAAGCCACCTCAGCTACATAGCAACTTGTGATTAGGCCAAGCTGCATGAAATCTTGTCCCAACCTTTTACTGATAAATCATAAAAGAAATTAATTCTTTGGTACCAAAGAATAATTTTATAATGCATAAAATAATAATGTATTTATTTTATATAATTTTATAAATATAATTTATAGTTAATATAAATAATTTCAGCATGCATTGAAGAGAAAAGCAATTGTTAAAACTAATAAAATTGATGTGCCTGTGAGTTGAATCTTGGGCATTTCAGATTCAACTCACAGGCCACATGAAGCTCATGAAGAAGGAAGACCAAGTGGAGGTGATTCAGTCCTTCTTAGAAGGAGCAACAAAATACCCAAGGGAGCAAATATGGAGACAAAGTGAGGGACAGAAACTGAAGGAGGGGCCGTCTGAAGACCATTCCACCTGAGTATCCATCCCATGTGCAGTCACCAAAGGTAGGTGCTGATGTGGAAGTCAGGAAGTGCATGCTGATAAGAGCCTGATATAGATGTCTCCTCAGAGGTCTGCAAGAGTCTGACATATTCAGAGGCGGATGCTCACAACTAGCCATTGAACTGATCATGGGGTTCCCAATGGAGGAGTTAGAGTGAAGACCATTGGAGCTGAAAGGGTTTGAGGCCCCATGAGGAGAGCAACAATTCCAACCAACCAAAGCTCCTAGAGTCTAAACCACCAGCCTGGGAGCACTTAGGGAGGGATCCATGGCTTCAGCTGTATATGTAAGAGTGGAGGGCCCTGCTGGGCATAGGTGGAAGATGAGATCCTTGACCTCATGAAGGCTGGACACCCCAGGGGGTGGGAATTTGAGGGTGGGGAGGTGGGAGTCGGGGGGTAGATAGAGGTTACATCCACAGAGAAGAAGGAGGAGGGGTGAGGGGATTGGGGGTTCCTGGGTGGGTGGGGAATGGGGTAAGGGTATAACATATGAAATGTAAATAAAACATCCAATAAAAAAATTGATGTGCTTAATTATTTTTACACAGAGAATTAAAAACTTGGCTCAGTATTGACACTTTAGAAAATAATATCTTCAGTGTTTTCCAGCATCCAGCAATATTTTGATTTTATAATCAACGCTAAGAATGTCATATCACATAAACGTGTAGTATGAAATGTCATACATATGTTAAACACTGTTCCAGAGACTGGGTAATCTCACACTAATTCCAAGCCAAATCCAGGTACTAGAGTTCTGTTTTGTTCTTTTATGAAACGTAAATCAGCAACTCAAAGTACACTCTTTGTTTTTCAATTCAGGGTCTTGTGTAGCTCGGACTGGAATTCCCACTTGCTGTATAGCAAAGGAACACTCTGATCCTCCTACCTCTAGGTCTCATGTGCTAGAATTACAGGTCTGTCACTATACTGAGTTTATGCAGGGTGGAAATCAAGCCCAGGGTTTTTTAAATCAAACATTCTAACACTGTATAATCCAAAGATACACTATTTTTATATTTACATGCTGAAGAATGGTCATAGGAACAGAAAGTCTTTCTTTCCTATAATTAAACCATTATGATTTAAATTTGTATCCATTTTTATATATTTTGTATATAAGGGACTGGTAGAGAGTGTACACATTCCACAGGAGCTTGTGTGAAAATACCAGGTCATGACCAGTGCATTAAACATTATAATCTTTGGGTTATAGTTGTAGCTCCTTTGTAGAGTACTTGTCTAGTATGCACAAAGTGTCAGGTTTGACCTCAAACACTACACAAGCCTGATACAGTGGCACACATCTGTAATCCTATCTTTTGGGGAAAAGGTAAGAGAAAAGAAGTTTGAAGTCATGGATGACTACACAGTGAGTTGAAAGTCAGTTTGGGATGCACGTGACCCTGTCTCAAACAAACAAGCAATCAGGTTCCATTCACTTATGCTTCCTTTGAGTACATGGATTTTGATGGCAATTCCTTGAAGAATTTTTCCAAGATTTTTGTTGTACAAATATCATTTATCAAACTTTCTGCTTGATTATATTGTCATTATAATAAATCTACATTCCCTTGAGTACCTAGGTCTCTTTCTAGCTTTCTACTCTGATGTTTTTATGTTTTTAGTATATATCTTAAAAAGTAAAAAGAAAAGTGAATTTTTAAAAAGCAGTAAAAAAAAAAATCAGACATGTGGCATACATCTGCAATCGCACCTGCAATCCAAGCACTTAAGAGGTTGAAACAAGAGATTCCCCATGAGCCGGGCAGTGGTAGCTCACGCCTTTAATCCCAGCATTTGGGAGGTAGAGGCAGGCGGATTTCTGAGTTCGAGGCCAGCCTGGTCTACAGAGTGAGTTCCAGAACAGCCAGGACTACACAAAAAAAAAACCCTGCCTCAAAAAATAAAATAAAATAAAATAACAAAAGAAAAAAGATTCCCCTTGAGCTTAAGGCTAGCCTAGGCTACATAGTGGGTTCCAATTCAACCTGTTCACAAAACAAACAAAAAAGTAAAAACTAGGCAAATAATATAAGTGTCCCAGCAAAGTCCCCAGAGTAGTACGTTAATGACTGAATTTTTTTCTACAGTTCATATCAAAAGGAAACAGAGTTCTAGCAACTAGACAAATCAAGGCAAAAAATTTGCTATTGTTCTATGCCTGTCTTCACCTTTGCCCATTATCCCTAACCATTGTTCAAAGTTTCAACATATAAAATACATTAAAAGTTGACACATATGGTGATGTGCACCTGTAATCCCAGTACATTGGAGGTAGAAGCAAGAGGATCAACTCAGGCTACATGAGATCCTCTCTCAAAGAAAGGAAAGAAGGAAGAATGGAGGGAAGGAGGAAGGGAGGGAGGGAGGGAAGGAGGAAGGGAGGGAGGGAGGGAGGGAGGGAGGGAGGGAGGGAAAACAGTGAGAAGGAAAGAAAGAAAAAGAGAGAAAGACAGGAAGGGGAGGGAGGGATAGAAGGGGAAGAGAGGAAGGGAGGGAGGATAGGAATAGTTTGGGTGCCATAAGACCCATTCAAAAAAAGCATAATTAGGACCTCAGTACTCTGCAGGTACCAAAAGAGAAGCATAGACACCAACCCAACTACAAACCCTTTGACCTACAATCTGCCCTGCCTATAAGATACATGAGGGCAATGGTGGCACAGATCTTATGGAAATAACCAACCAACTTCTGATTTGACTTAACAGGCACTCCATAAGACAGAACTTACGCTGAACACTGCTTGGGTGACCAAGAACCAGAGACTAGATAGCCCAGACACCTAGGGCATAACCAAGCACTACTAGTGTAAAAAATGTGGTATCAATAAAATGACTCTTAATGATATTCTGCTATACTCATAGATCAGTGTCTGCTTCAGCCATCAGCAGAGAAGCTTCCTCCTGCAGCAGATGAGGACAACAGAGACCCACAGCCACACATACTGTTTGATTTCTTTTCAAGCCTATTTCCTTGACTTAAGTAAAGCAACATTCATGTAGTCCTGCTGTAAGTTGGTAATACTCACATTAATCAAGCAAGAACCTTTCACTTGGTCACTCGGGGCATTAAAACATCCTATTGGAAATCCTGATACGCAATGGTGTTCTCCATCTTCTGTGTCATAACACCATATTACTTGTGTGTTATCAATAACCCTAAATAAAAATATTTTTTAAATAAAAGGTTTAGCAAACAGTTCACATTGAGCAACATGTTATATTACAAATATTTAAGTTCAATTATAATCAAATCACAAAAATAGAACATAATTTATATGTCAATTAATTATTCTTAGGGGCTACAGAGATGGCTCAGTGGTTAAGAGCACTGACTGCTCTGAGAGAATCCAGGTTCAAATACCAGCACCCACTTGGTAGCTCACAACTGTCTGTAACTACAAAATCTGACCTCTCACACAGACATATATGTGGCAAAACACCAACACACATAAAACTTTTAAAAATAAATTACTTTAAAAAGGAATGAAAAAGTCACTTTTAAATAACAAACACACCAGTGATGATGGTAATCCTGTTTTATCCCTCTCTTCAAAAAGGCCAACTTGCTCATTTCATCTTCACTGTCTGGAGCGTAAAATTTTACATAGACTTTTCTACATGTTTCTTCTTTGTTGAAAGAAAACTATAAGAAATGAAAATATTAAGAAATTTGGCTAAATTCGATATAAGTCAAATGTCACCAAATAAGCAGTTCATCTTACAGGTATATTTTTCCCTTGAAAGATTTAAGTGTATCATCATTCTCAACTCTGTCTCTTTTCAGTTTCAGTTTCTAACTGTTACGACTATTCTAGTCGTACATACAAAATGCTTTTAAAACTGAAGGGAAGGATTTGTCTTCTCATATCATATTGTAGGATCTGACTATGATTTGTGCCTATAAACTAATATAGCATCATTCTCTATCATTAACTTTAATTCCTGAAGTCACAGTGAAATTAAATTGAGAGGTCAAACATTTACTCTGACTACAGTGTTTTGATTTGAGTTACTTTAAAAGTGATAAGATTGACCATTAGGGTAAGGTATTCATAACTGGATGCTTTTGGGGTCCATCTCAGGATCTTATACCATAAAAACTTACAAATGACTGCAGGAAGTCCTGTTGGAAGGTTGGTACAAGTCCAGGCTTATTGTGGGTAACTATACAAAACATTTCTGCTGACTTCTATTGTGATTGTTTTTCAAGGGGACAGAACACAACAGAATATGCAATCTATCTTGTCGCTAGAAAATTTCCTATTAACAGTTAAAACACATGAGAAAATTCTCTTATAATGGCAAGCTAGCCAGGTAACTGTTATCTAGGCCTTAATATTTTACCTAGGTCCCAACAAATCCTAGTGAACTTAAAAGAAAAAACTCACACATGTGCCTACCATTTTATAAATCAAACCAGAGGCCTCTTTGCAGAGCTTGTTAGCATTTTGTCTAAGCTCTGCCCCACAGTTACCTAGCAACAGCCAGGTGTTAGTAACTAACTATAAAAGGAGCTGCTTGCCCCCCTCCTTTCTCTTGTTCTTGCCTTCTTGCTCCTGCTCTGTCCCCTCTCTCTTCTCCCCACTCTCCTCATTCCCTTCCTCCCTCTCTCCACGTGCCCATGGCCAGCCTCTACTTCTCTACTCTCTTCTCTGCCTCTACTACCCTCTCAACTCCCTTCCCCATGCCCTGAATAAACTCTATTCTATCGTGTAGCTGGTCCGTCAGGGGAAGGGATGGATACCTCAGCATGGGCCCATGGAGGCACCCCCTTTCCCCATACCTCACCACACATCCACCAAACATATTCCTTCTCTCTTTATCTTTTTATAAAACACAACAGAGCTGGTAAAGTGTTATTTGGGCCTTGCACCTACAGAACTGTGAGACTAAGTACATCTCTTCTTTTTTTTTTCATGCCATTTATTTATTGTGTGTGTGCACACACATGCCGTGCCACACACAGTTCGTGTGTGGCCATCAGAGGACAACTTGGAAAAGTTAGTTCTCTCCTTCCACCATGTGAATCCTAGGGACTGATCTCATGTTGTTAGGCTCGGTGGGAAGCTGTTTACCAACTAAGCTATCGCTTCCCCATTTCTAGTGTGTTGTTGTTCTGCTTTGTTTTTAATTGTTGTGCTGTTTTGAGATAGTCTTAGCCTCCTATTCATTAAGATACTGAAGGTAAAATGAGTGCATATTCAGCATCCAGTTTTATCTCCTTATATCACTCACCCAAAATAGGAACAGTACAATACACTCAGAGCTTTTCTTTATAAAGTAAAAAAAAGCAAACAAACAAGTAAATACCTTGAAATTGAAATTAAACCTTATGCAGGCCAGACATTGCAGCTCATGCTTACAATAGCAGAACTTGTGATGTTAAGTATGATTGCCATGGATTTCAGGACAATCTGGACTATAGAGTGTGACACTCTTCTTTTTTTTGGGGGGGGGGGAGAAAAACAAGAAAAAGGTTGGACCTGATGGCTACATCTATAGTCTCAGCTCCCAAATTCTATGACAACCTGGAAAACATTCGATACTCCAAGGCCATCTTGAGCTACACAATAGAATTTGTCTCAAAAAGGCTGCGGCCAAAGTTCAATGATAGAGTACCTGCTCAGCTTATGTGGTGCCCAGAGCCCACTCCTCATCATCTCACACACTTTCTCCCTATCTCTGCCTGTGTCTATGTGTCTCTCTCTCCCTCTTTCCCTCTATCCCTCTCTCCCTCCCTTCCTCCCTCCCTCGCTCCCTCCCCTTTATACGGACCCAGCTAATACAGATATTTAACAGACTCCTCTATCAATATGAGCTTCTTTTTTTCTTTCCTCCCTTTAAAACAGAGATTCAATTTTAAATACTTTTGAGAAAATCCTTTCAAAAATAAGATATACTAATAAGATCAGCTGAATAACCTTGTAGGGACATGATGTTATTTGTTCCCCAGATAGGATTTGTCCAAGAGTCTTAGAGGGTGTTTTCTTCAAAGAATCTTGACAGAAGTCAAAGCTAAGAAAGAAGTTCAAGTACCATGTTTTAAAACTGAGCAAGAAATCAATCTTTATAATTTCTCTAAAGTCTCTATTGCTAACAAGACTGCAAATAAAACTATGATCTACATATGTACAATTATGAACTATGTGCCTTACTAAACATTTCTCTTCAGCATGTGTAACTGCTAAATTCATTACATAAAGGTTCGCTACTGCATTTGAAGTTTCTTAACAGAGAAATGACAATTATAAAACTTCACAGGCCTAACAGAGGTGGTGCACACCTTTAGTCCCAGAACTCCCAAGGCAAAGGCAGGTGAATCTCTGTGAGTTCAAGGCCATCTGGGTTTACAAAGTGAGTTGCAGGATGGCCAGAGATACACAGAAAAACCTTGTCTTGGAAAGAAGTAAAAGGAACAAAAAAAGAAAAAGAGAAACCACCTCACAATATTTGGGGGGGATTAACTTTTAAATTATACAAAAATAAACAACAGTTTCAAGTCCATAATAATCTAACTCAGTATATTCAGAAACTGTAATTATTAGTTCTAGTCAAAGCAAATTTAAAGAACAAACCCATCCCTAAACATATTCCCATAGAGTCTCAAAAAATTAGTAAATAAAATGAATTAGAATTTTCTTTCAGTTGTTATGAATATAAGATAACTTTAAGTAGAAAATCAAATACATAGAAATTTTGTATGTATTTTAAATGGCAAAAGATTTGTACAATCTAAAGAGAAGCCAGGAGAAGCCAGGGACAGGTAAGGCTCCCTCGAGTCTTTGGGTATGATCCTAGCTGAGACTCCTAGCAGTAGGGTATACAGAGGCTGATGTGCCAACCTCCTGTAGCCAGGTCGAATTTCCCATGGAAGGAGGGGGGACACCAACCCAACCAGAAAACCTCTGATCCTTAATTTGCTCTGTCTACAAAATGTGCAGGGACAAAGATGGAGAACAGATTAAGGGAATGGACAACCAATGACTGGCCCAACCGGAGTGGGGGCTGATTTTGACTCTGTTGCCCTCCTTTAGATCCCCTTCCCCTGGCTTGGCTGCCTTGTCTGACCTTAGTGGGAAAGATTGCACCTAGTCTAGCTGTAACTTGATGTGCCAGAGCAGGTTGGTATCCATGGGGGGGGGTGTCTTCCCTTCTCAGTGGAGAAAGGTAAGGGAGAATGGGGGAAGGGTTGAAGGTGGGACTGGGAGGGGAGGAGGGAGGTGGGCTTCAACCAAGATGTATAATGAATGAATGAATGAATGAATAAATAAATAAACAAACAAATAAATAAATAAATGGGAAAAATCTAAAAAGACAGAGAGACCAAGGCATTTTATATACTTCAAATGCTCATGCTCCCCTATATTTAAGCTTGATTATAATATAAGTCAGACCTGATTTTAGTAGAAGAAACAAAGCAATACCAAAGGACATCTTAGACTTTTTTCTATAATATAGGTAATTCGTCTTTTTCCAGATTTTAAGCCGAATTCTAAGCTGATCATGTCATATATAGAACATTACTAAACAAAGCATTATCACTCACTAAAAACTTCCATATGAACCTTTTTCGTGTTTTAGTGTTTTAAAATCACTCTGAAGGTGTTTTTTAAACACTTACACTACACTTACCTATCATAGTCATAGAACATCACAGTTTCCACTGAGTACAATTTATCAGCATACACCTGAATTGAGGACTAAAAGAAAGAAAAAGAACATTCACTAATAATACAATGAGTGGTGTTTCCAAAACACATAAGAAAACAACCAAGAGGGACACTGGCCTTCTGCTCTTACCATCAGTTTACAACAGTTATAAATTCTTCCTGAAATTGTTTGTAGCTATGGAAGTTTATCACAGCAACAGAAGTTTGAATTAAGAAAATTGGGTTCCCTGGATGAATAAAATTTGTATCTCTACCATTCTTTTGTGTATGTGTGTGTGTGGTTTGTTTGTTTGTTTGTTTGTTTGTTTGTTTTTGAGACAGGATTTCTGTAGCCTTTGCTGTCATGGTTCTCTGTATGTAGACCAAGCTAGCCTTGAACTCACAGAGAGCTTGTTTCTTCCCCCCAATGATGGCTGGGATTAAAGACCTAAGCCATCAAACCTGGGTTTGACCATTCTTAATTTTTAAGAAAAAAATATATAAAACCCTTTCAAACTATGTTTTTTAAAAAGCAGCAAATGCTTCTCTCCTCAGAAAAACACACTCTTCGAATTCTCTGGTCAGCTTTGAAAACGTTTTAAATTTTATTATTTTTAAATGTTTTATTATTATTTTATTGGTTTGCCTGCTTGTACGTCTGTGTACCACCTGCATGTGGGTACCCAAGGAGGTCAAAAGAGGGATCTGGGTCCCTAAAACTGTAGTTATTGGATGATAATGGACAGAGAACAAAAATTCGCAATGTAGTACTGGGAAGTGTCAAATTTGAACTATAATTTAAAATATGTATATTAATCTTGCATAAATATGAACTTAAACCATAAAGCACTAAAGAAAACATGAGAGAACCACTTTATAATCTTGTGTGGAGTATGAAAGACCTTTCAAGATGGTATACAAAACCCAGAAGTCACTATAATTCCAAATTGAAATAGAAATTAAACTGTATAAATTGCAAAGAGGGACAATGTAAACCCAGAAGACAACAGATAAAGACAAAAACTGAATTTGCCACATGTTCCACACAAGGGGCTAATTTCCTGACGTAGAAGTCCCCACAACTAGCTGTGATGATACCCACCAAAAGCAAATGCTAAGAGGAGTCAGGAAGCTGTCAGTGTGCAAACCTGCAATCCTGGCAACTGGAGAGGGGAAAGGAAAAGGATCTGGAGCTCAAGGTCAAACTGGGATCCATCCCTGGGACCCAAGAAAAGGTGGAAGAAGAGAACGGAAAACTCCGAAAGATTGTCCTCTTACCATCAGTGGAATTAATAAAGGAGGGGGAAAGATGAAGAAAGAGGGGAAAAGAGGAAACCGAGGCCAGGCAAAGTACCTTACAGCTGTAATTCCAGCACTCAGAAGAAGATGGACAGAGCAGGTACTCACTCACTATGTAGCCAGTTGTGCTACATAATACATTCTAAATAAATCAGGGATGCACAGTAAGACCCTGTCTCAAAAGGGGAAAAAAGATGGAAGGCGAAGAAAGAAGAGAGTTAAAGAGCAAGAGGAAGAGAGGAAGAGAGCAAGATAGGGACAAAAAGGAAGGGAGAGGAGGAAGAAAATAAAGGAGAAAGGAAATAGAAACAAAGAAAAGGGAAAAGAGAATGGCAAAATAGAGGGAGAGAGGGAGGGAAAGGAAGAGGGAGGGCAAGAGGATAGTTAAGCAGTTAAGAGTATTTACTATACAATCATGAGAACCAGGATTCAGACCTTAGCACCCATTTTTAAAAAGAGAGAGCGGGGAGTGTAACAAGAGAAAAAGACAGAAAAAGAAATAAAATAGAGAAATCAGGAAAAATGGAATGATAAAAAGAGGGAAACAAAAAGAGGACAGAGAGCAAAAGTTTAAAAAGAAAAAAAGACAGAGAAAAAAGAAAGGTGAGAGAAACTAGAGAAAGAAGCTAGTGAACACAGAGAAAAGATGAAAGAAATAAAAAGAGGAGCTGGAAAATAAGGGAAGAAGAAAAGGGGAGGGGAGGAGAGAGACTGGGAGGGAAAATAGATATCTGGGATTGGTGTCACACATCTGTAATAGCAGCACCCATGAGTTCTAGGCCAGCCAGGTCTTTATAGTGAATAACAAGCCAGACTCAGCTACAAAGCAAGACAGGAAAGGGAAAGGAAGAAAAGAAAAAAGGGGGAAGTCACAGAGAGGGAAAGGGAAGGTAAGAAGGGGAGAGAGGTAAAGAAAGGGATGAGGACAGAGGTTGGAGACCTTGATAAGGGGAGGTGGAAGAAAAATGGAAAAAAGAAAGAGGACGGAAAGGGGAGGAGAAGAGGTGGAGGGAGAAGAAGGGAGAGAAAGGGGAAAGAAACAGAAATGCCATAGGTAAGAGGGGAAGGAAAGAAGGATGGAAAAAACACAAAATGAGAGAAGACAACACAATAGTAGAAAAAGAGAAAGGACGAGTGGATGTAAAAGGAAAAGAAACAGAAATAAGAGAGAAAGGGGGAAACACAGAAAGAAGATGTAGAGAAAGATAAAATGTGAGAAAGAAAATAGAAAGGTAAGAACAAATGGAAAGGAAAAGTGAGAAAGACAAAACAGAAAATCAGATGGAAGAATAAAGACAGAAACAAGGTGGGGGGGGAGTGAAAGAAAGACATGAGGACCGGAATAACATCAAACATCTGTAATCTCATCACTTGGAAGGTAGATACAGGAGATCAGAGTCCAAAAGCATCCCTGGCTACACCTCAAGTTTGAAGTCAGCCTGGAATATCTGAGACCCTGTCTCAAATAAACACAATATAATGAAAGTTTCAAAGAACAAAAAAGAAAAAAGTGAGAAAGAGCGAAAGAGGAACACAAAGATAGAAAAGGAAACAGAAAGACATTGGCTAACTAAGGTAAAACAAAGAAAAGAAACCAGTAATAATGAAGAAATTAAAAAGAAAGGGTGAAATAGAAGCAAGCAAGCATGACAGAGAAAGAAAACAGGGGGAGCGAGGAGGAAGAAATGGACAGAGAAACAAACAAGGAAAAGGGAGAAGGGGAAAGGATGGAATGAGAAGCAGAAATGTAGTGAAAGAAGAGGTGGAAAGTGAAGGGAAAACACAAAAGAAATAAAACAGAAGACAGTAGGAGAGATGATGGAAAGAGAGAAAAGGAAAAAGGAGGAAAGGAGAAAGCCTCTGTGAGAAACAGAAATGGAAAAAAGTGAGTGAACCCTCAAAAGGAAGAGAAAGGAAGATAAAAAGAACCAGAAATAATAAAAATAGGGGAATGACAACAAAAGAAACAAAAAACAGAAAGGGTGAAGGCAAAAAAGAAACAGATGGGGAAGGAGGAAGAAAATGAAAAACAATGTAAAGAAAAAGTGAGAAAGGAGCCGGGAGGTGGTGGCGCACGCCTTTAATCCCAGCACTTGGGAGGGAGAGGCAGGTGGATTTCTGAGTTTGAGGCCAGCCTGGTCTACAGAGTGAGTTCCAGGACAGCTAGGGCTACACAGAGAAACCCTGTCTCGAAAAACCAAAAAAGAAAGAA